TTTTGGATTTGGTGCTGTCATTTTTCTCTAATTTAAAGTGGGGCCATATCAATATATGGTTTTGTTGTTTCAGATCAATGAATGTTCAGCCACCTCAGCTGTTATCAAATGGCCTGGCACTATCCAGAGCCATCAGATGGGAATCCAGTTAACGGCCCTACCTACCATGTTCAAATAATAATATATTTTTGAAATCTAACGGTTTCTGAGGGACCTATTTCAATCATGACTTCCCAAATCCCAAGTATTTCTCATGTTCCAAACTATTAATAAAGATAGATAATAATAGTAAGATAAGGTGGCATTATCTTTTTATGGCGTGGGAAGCACGTTCTTACGTAAGAAAATTCTGTGAACCTTTTGATTGGAATCCGACGTGTATTTGCTTGAATCACCTCGGATTCCAATCAGAAGCTGATATCATTTGCTTACGTACAAAGTGTGCCTTTTTAAATATAATAAAATATTCCAATAAAAAACTAATTTGATTGAATGCTTCTATTATTGTGGTCTAAGCGAAAAGACGACCTAACAATTCATATATCACTGAAGCAGAAAAAGAACAAAGCAAGATTTGGTTGGAGAACATGTACAATGCAGAGAATAGCATAAAGTGACGCAAAAGTCCAATAAGATTAAATGGCATTTATCCTGGTTCACCTGAAGCACTCTCTCTTTGGTCCTGATGGATCCCACCATGCACCATGTATCTCAGTACCAAGGTCTACATAGCATTTTAATTAAGGTTGTGTGAACGATATGGGAAAAGTCTGACATTGTATTTAAGATTTGACATAATCGAATCAAATTTGGATAATTTGAATGCAGTAATTGATTAAATTAATTACAACATATGGGATTATCTAAATACCTGCTATTTATCTTCTTTATTTTATGAAACTTATAATGGTAAAGTAATTCAATTAGATTTGATTCAGATTCAGATACTTGAATTAATTGTTGGAATTCAAATATTCCAAATTTCATTCGAATTCCAATTCAAGTAGCCTTTTTAAAGATTTATCAGATATCAAGTCGAATTCAAATCATTATGCTACCTTTTTCGGATCATAATTGAACCCTTTATATTTTATTGGATTTGAATTTGGATGTGACCTGATTTGCTTTGAATTCACACTGTTTACATTCTCAGGCTATGTTTGATAAAGAATACAAATACCAGTGTATACACGTACAAGATTTAGATATACCATCTACAAAGCTTTATGATATACATGATTTATATTTGCACTCTTCCCAAACTGACCCTTTTCAATGTCCAAGTATGTGTTTGGAACCATGGACACAAATTGACTAAACGTTTTGTAATTGATTTGTTTGGAAAATCGAGAAAAACAATGATGAATCTATTTATATTGACACTTTACTTAGGTGTCATTAGGCACCATATAAGCAATACAGTGAATAAATGCCTATTTGTTGGAAGTAGTATTAAAATGAAGCTGCCTACACATAAACAGAATTCTACTTTTGCAAGTCCCTGTATATGAATTTACATAATAGGGAAAATGCTGAAATGGTACTTATATGACAGCGTTTATTACGCTCAGGCATCCAAACACATGCTAAATAATGGTGGATTTATTGACCCGAACACCCATTTGGGTCAGATAAAAAGTGAGAACCCAAATAGATCAAGACCACGAAAAACTTGTTTAAAAAAAGCTGTACGGTGCATGATTTGAAGTTTCACTTCTGTTGGATGACATGAAGCCACGCTATGGGTCAAGCTGCCTCCGCTTGTAATGTTTTGTGGGCACATTGCGTGTCGCTATGCAATCCAAGCAATTGAAACTTGAAAGCGATCCCTGCAATGTTAGCATTAGGTAAACCTAAAACAGAAAACAGAGAAACCTTTTTCTGCCCAACGCCGTGGACACAAAAAAAAAAAAAAAGAAAGAAAAAGAAACCCAGATTCCAACAAGCAAATAAATCAAGGGAGATCAAAGCAGATTTTTCTTCAAATAAAATCTCAGTGAAACAGACATTTTCCAGGGCAAAAGATGTTTTAACAAACTAAAGACAAAGCTTGCATCATTTGGTCCAATACATACATGTGGGCAGAGATTAATCGTAGTTTTACACACCGAAGTTTCTTCTGTTTCACACTGCTATACCTCTGTTAGTGGACAAGAGGGAAGAGGAGGAGGTGTGCGTCACATTCCAATGGACCAACTTTTGCCATAATTATTGTGTCGTCAAGAGTGATCAAATGGGGGTTCAATCTTTAATGGGTTGTCTGAAGGCCAAACACGTGTTGGGTTTGCATTCCTCTGAGGATCTTAAGCAATGAGAGAACAATCAAAGAATGATGTCAATGTCCGATAGAAATATCAAATATTAGGGTTTCAGTTTTTGAAGATATTTGTATCTTTGGCTTGAGTGAATGGCGCAGTTTGAGTTAGACCGTTACAGACTTCTGTTTTGCTGAGAGATTTTAACCTTATTCTCCTGTGTCTGTGCTTTGAATTTTGTCATTACATTTGGGTGCCCTAGGTTTTAGTAAATTTGCAGCCATCCCCCCTTTGCTTTTAATTTTGGCCCCATTTCTCTAGATGGGTCTTCTCAGATATACCCACCATCTATTAAAAAAATCAAATTGCCTTTTGGTTGCTTCATTAGGGGAAGGTGACATCTCTCAATCAAGCATGAAATTAATTCAACAGAAATGTATTCAGTCTATGAAATTTCCATGGTCCATCACTTCAAGAAATGCCAAACTGAACTGATTAATCACCACCACACTTTTGTGCATGGGATTAGCTGTGAGCTTAGGCTGATAATTGATGAGATGGCCCACCCACCACTCAGGAGCTAGGAAGCTTCTATGCAACATGAAATACACAACCCCAAAAAACAAGAAATGCAAGTCAAGGGAAGGAGATGCGGAGAGGCTACCAAAAGACCAAGAAAAAAAATAAACATTGAAAAGAAGATACAACTATACAAAGGCCTCTTCTGCTCTGCACCTTCGCCTCTCATGGAAGCGATTCTTATCTTTCTTCCTTTTGTGCGTTTTCTTCATTCCACTGGATAAGGGCAATAATGGAGTAGGATTTGGAAGCCTCCATGGGAATTGGGTCTGTCTTGGAACGCGTTATACTTTGTGGTATTTGTAAAGCAACCCGTCACTTGTGCAGATATGTCCCTGCCATTATTTATTCCTTTGTCTTAGATTATATTGATTCTTTCCACAGTCTTTTGCTTTGCTTGGATTGTATGAGTTGGCTTAATACTTTAACTGATATTATTCTCTGTGTATGTAGTTGCAACCTCCTCTAAATTGAGAGAAAAATATATCATGGACCCTAGGGTCAATTCCATTACTCATAAATAAAGTCTTCATTTATTACAACAAAAGAGGAAGAAGTGGCCCAAGTATCAGGCCTAGAGAAGTTTATTTGGATTTTCAAGGAAGGGTCTAGTTAATCAAATAAATAGTTCCAAAGGGAATTTTCAACTATCCATCACCAAGTTTCATCTCATCATCTTCTAATCCTTTTCTCAAATATATGGGATGGGTTACCTGAATCCTATTTTGTTATTCTGTTCTATTTATTGTCATATTCATAAATTATAAGTATTTAAATCATTTTTTTTATTTCGTAGCCTTTTTAGTCAAAGTTATAGATTTTCTAACAATAATATATATGGAGAAATACGGACAAGCCCAATGCAGATTTCTGATTTTCAAACATTCAAAAGGTCAAAAACCCTTACTTTACACTCCAATGCCCACCGGTAAATTGGTATCAATTCTGAGCTGGCGCCCACCCCAACTGTACTTTGGGCCTAAAAATTCTAACCCTGGGTTGAACGGTCATTCTCCCCATATATATATAATTTTTTCACCATGATTATTAATGGATGTGTAAATGAGGATGGACATTAACACTGGAAAGTGGAAACCATTAAAATGCTCAAACCAAGGTTTTTAAAATCAAATTGGATAACAAACCGTTTAAGGGTCAAATTCCCGGGTTGAACAATTCGACCACCCGAGTCAATGATTTACTGATCAAATCAACGGTTTGAAGCCTTTTAGCCAAAAAGACGATTTTAAGATAAAACAGAACTGATCAAGTGACCAGTTCTCAAATTTTCCGGTCCGATGTGGTTTTGAAAACCATGACTCAAACTCTCAAATATTTATTGCATCCGGTAATTTTGATATCAACACTTTAAACCTTGATTCTAGCCCCTTTCACTTATAAGTGATTACTTCCTTCTTACTTACCACGTTTGACATGCACAATTTAATTATATTTTAAGGAAAAAGGTTCATCAATAAGGAGCTTTCTTACATGAATTAATTTATTTTTGTTATATCGAGGCGTCATGTGTCTGATCTAAACCATCCATCATATAGGAACCCACTAGATCGGCAACATGTTCAATCCCTCTAAACATCTGTTTTGAACGCGTAATAATCAGTTTTGGGTTGAATTTTTTTTTTCCCATGAATGGAAAGTGGTAAGAGGAACTCCTGACCTCCAAACTTCAACCAAAATAAATTCTAACACTGCAGACTAGTTTGTCACATGTAAGAAGATTCTTTGTCATTAGCTGACCAAACAACCCCACTACCAAATTGTCAAATCCAAGCCCTTCTTTACATAGAATTAATTATTTAAGAACAAATATTTAACAAGTAAAAGTAGGTAAAAGAATCCAACCAGGTTCGACCCAAACTTAGAAATTTGTCCAGTTACAGACTTACAGCTCTTCCTTTCAAAACTTTGGATGCCCATATTAGAGTGCCGACAACCATTCGGCCTACCCATTAATCAACTTAAAAGCGTAGACAGTAGAAAGTGGGGAAGTTGTAATTAGAGATTAACGGAAATAATTAGACAAAGATGAAGAACTAACGAGTAAATTGTGAGAGACATGGAGCGGTAAAAGTTGGTTGTTTTAACATTGAACAAAGACGTTCTTATAGCCAGTGTTACCGACATTTTAAAAAGATCTCAAATAACCCCACCAGCTGATTCAGACCACGCTCTCTTAGAAAAATCTAGACTTTAGCCTCTCTGTCTTTCTGCTTAAAAACTAGTTTCTATCCTCAATTTCCCTTCTCACCTCGTAAGACTGCCCAGATATTCTTAGAATCTTCTTTCTTCAAATTATTTCTGATTCCTCTCTCTCTCTCTCTCTGTAAACCTCTGGGCTCTGAGCCCCCCAGAAAGAATGTGTTTGCAGGACGCAGAACAAGTAGGGGAGACTATGGAAAATTTTGGTCTTTGTGAACAAGAGAAGTCATGGCCTGTGCATTCAGGATTCTTAAACACCCATGTTGAGAATTGGGAAGAAAAGTCACCAAAAAGTACTCCTGATCGGATTTCTTTAGAAACCGCCAATTCCACTCCTGTAAGGATTTTTGTTTCTTCTTATCTTCACCTCAGAGCAATGATTTTTTTTTTCTCTCTGATTTCGAGGTTAATCATTTCTTCTTAATTTTCTTCTAAGAGATTTTATTAAAATACCCATTTGGTTTCTGGGTTTTAGCTTATTAAGCTTTTTCATTTTAATTTCACAGTAGCTTTTTTCTGTTGATTTCCTCTATTATGAAATTCTTTCTAAAGAGGGCATCTGTTTTATTTTTTATATGAATGGAACATCAGTTTTCAATGTCAATGCAATATGCTTCTTCCTCTGTGACTTTATTTTTCTGAATGGTGCTAGTCCATGTTATCTTTATCTGTTTTATGGGCTGTTTGTTTATGTTTATTTCCACATGATCACTTTTCTTTCAGCCTCTTTTTGCGCATGCACTTTTCCTCCTGATTGGGTTTTGTTTCTTCTTTCAATTCGGCATGTCTAGTTGATGATTGAAGCTCTCTTTTGCAGAACCTAACGATGGATAATATGCTTTGAACTTCTCAGAAATTGAGTTTTATGTATTTCTTCCTGTTGATTTCATCTGCCCATGAATCCATGATTTCCTTCTTCTCATTTTCATTTTATTAAAAAAATATTTTATGAGTACTTTTGTCTTCGCAAATATGTGGATTTTCGTTTTACTTGCTCACTTCCTTCTCTCTATCTTTGCATTCTCGTCTGTCTCTCTAACACTGATAAGATGACTGGAATAGCTGATAGTTTTCTTAATTGATTTTTATGACTACATTTTGTTCCATATCTTAATTTTTCATTGGGTTATTTGTTTCAAGTTCCTATAAGTGGTTCTATCTTCTTTTTTCTCAGTGGAGTTTTCCTCCATATGGTGATTCAGTTTTTGGAATGAAATGAAACACTTTCAATGGATTTCTGTTTTTTTTTTTCATTTGTAAGAATGAGACAGTGATCTTTGATTTCCTTTTTGATTCAATCCAAATTATGTTTTGCTCAAAAAATATTTCTCTTACTCAACAATACCTTAATCCTTTCTGGGGTTTCCCCATTTCTTATCTATTGGTCATTCTTCTGTGTTTTTTATCTAATTTTAGTAGAAAAACCTTCATATCAGTCTGTCAGTCTGTTGAAGTGATGTTGTGACTCTGGGTGTAACATGCTTTACTCAACAATACCTTTTCTGGGATTTTCCCATTTCTTATCTATTGGTCATTCTTCTGTTTTTTTTTTTTTATTTTAATTTTGGTAGAACCTTCCTATCAGTCTGTCAATCTGATGAATTGATGTTGTGACATTGTGGCCCTTGTGGGTATAGCATGCTTTAATCAAAAAACATTTCTCTTACTCAAAAATACCTTAATCCTTTCTGGGGTTTCCCCATAAAGGATACCCATATATGATGAAGTGATGCTGTGACATTGTGGGTGTAGCAGCTGGAAAGCATTTGTGAGAACACAGTGGTCGTCGCAGACAGTAAACAAAACCACTTTGTCCCCACTATTCGTTCAGGAGACTGGTCTGATATCGGTGGTCGTGAGTACATGGAGGATACCCATATATGCATTTCTGACCTGGCTAAGAAGTTCGGTTACAATGTACTTGATGGAGGGGCTATTTCCTTCTTTGGTGTAAGTTTTTTTTTCCTACTCAATTGAATGAGTTGCATTCTCCAACTCTCCATGTAAGTTTCTTTTTCTGGACCCTTATTAAAACACAAGCAATGGTCCATTATTTAGATGAACTACTTCAAAGAGAAAAAAATTGTTAACAATAATTTGCACAAAGAAAATAGGAAGCGAAAAATACAGTGGAGAGCAGAAAATAGAATGCACTGTTCATCCATTGAGGTCAATAATATGAGAGTTAATAGTGCTCTGGTGAAATGCCCAGTACTCAAGATGTGTGGGCACATGTGGAGGGAGGGAGAATATGTGATTCCTAATTTGGCTACATTGCTTACCAATCCCTATTCTCATTCTATGGGTGTTTTAAGGTAACTATGTTCATGTCAGAAATGAGTTATGATTATCGATTGTTTGAACTTGCTTATAGATGGTTTTCATCTCTCTTCAAATTCTTACCAAAAGAAGATGTGGTTATCGGATAACCGGTTAATGAACTTTTTTGACTTCCTTCTATTCATCTTTTTGATAAAAATGAAATAAAAAAAAAAAAAATTCTTATGATCCTTGCATGAAATACAGGACCTGGATACACATCCATGTAGTTTTGAATCAACCTAAACATTTGCAGTTTCTTTGCTCATTCGAATAAAACAGAAATCTGAAGGAATCAAAGTGTCAAAATCAAATTTTAGTAAGCATATGACACTTACAGAAGCTCATACCAGAGTGAAATATCTAAGAACACTCATATTCTCACAGGTTTTTGATGGACATGGAGGAAAGGGTGCTGCACATTTTGTCCGTGATAATTTGCCAAGAGTCATTGTTGAAGATGCTGATTTCCCCTTGGAGCTTGAGAAAGTGGTCACAAGGTCATATATGGAGACAGATGTTGCATTTGCAAGGAAGTGCTCTGTTCAGTCTACCCTGGCTTCCGGCACAACTGCACTCACTGCTATGATATTTGGGAGGTAGGTCTCCCATAAATCACTACTAGTTGGACATTTCTTTTATGCTCTCTGTATGTATTAAATTTGATAGCATTGGTATAGAGACTAAATAATTTCAATTTACTATTCTGATATTGTCTGGACAGATCTCTGCTAGTAGCAAATGCTGGGGATTGCCGTGCTGTGCTGTCTCGGCGTGGAGTGGCAATAGAAATGTCAAAGGACCATAGACCTTGCTGTACAAAGGAAAGAATGCGCATCGAAGCCCTAGGTGGATACATAGATGATGGTTATTTGAATGGCCAACTGGGTGTAACTCGAGCTCTTGGTAACTGGCATATCGAAGGTATGAAGGAAATAGGCGAACAAGGTGGGCCTTTGAGTGCTGAACCAGAATTGAAATTGATAACACTCACTAGAGAGGATGAATTTTTGATCATTGGAAGCGATGGAATTTGGGATGTATTTTCAAATCAAAATGCTGTAGACTTCGCAAGGAGGAGACTCCAGGAGCACAATGATGTGAAGCTGTGCTGCAAGGAAATGGTTGAAGAGGCAATCACCCGCGGGGCAGATGACAATCTGACAATTGTAATGGTGTGCTTTCACTCAAATCCTCCTCCCCAAGTTGTGGTGCAAAAGGCTAAAGTTAGAAGGAGCATATCAGCAGAGGGGCTGCAAAGTATTAGATGCCACCTTTTACAGGGAGATAGCTAGGTAATGGGTAGCAGCTAATTAATTGGTTAGGGTTGGTTTGTGCATAATTCTTACAGAAGTAAGATCTTCTACTTATCATTCCTGTTCTGGGTCTGGGGGAGAATTGCAGCCTATTCACAGGTGACTTTTGATTCACAAGGAGGATTGATACTGCAATCCTTAATTTGTAAATACTGTCTGTACAAATAAGATATTATATTTTTCCCTCCACAAAGAGAAGATTTTGTTCTTCTCAAACAATTTTTGCTGTAATAATGACTGGCTTGATGTTTTCGTTAGACAAGTTTTGCATCAAGTCATAATGCAATCCTTTGTGAAAAGCCTGTTATTCTCATGGAAGAAGCAAACCAGAAAATTCTGCCTACTGGACATTGCCCATTTAGCACTAACCCATTTTCTGAAACCCCTTTTAGAAATTATGTGAAATGTGAATATCCATAGTCTTTCTGAGGATGCTGGCCCCACTGGGTCTCAGTTGATACCAACATAACGAGACAAAGCAAATGTATGTCATAGTCACTGAATTGAAGTGCAGGTTGAGACGGACAATAGATCATCTGATTGTGCTTTTGGAAACTTGAACGGATTTAGACAGTTTCAATCATGTGTTTTGCTCTTTTAGGCAAGCAATAATTATTACTTGTTGAGCTTATATAAGGTAACGTGAGAGAGAATCTTGCAGGCCAATGCCAAGCTTCAGAGCTCACAAGGGGTGATGGGGCTTTTTTTGTAAGCGACCTCAGCACCGCATGAGGTCTACAAAGTTCAAACACCACCTGGGCAATGGTGACTGAACAGCCAGATACAGTTTTGGCAGGCTATCAATGAGAAAAAAAATCAAAGAATCATGATCAAGCCCATGTGAGCTGCTGAGCTTATTATCATTCAAATCTTGTCTATAAGCCAGATCACCCCTTTTCATGATTTTACAAGGCAAAATCTTCTAATAAGATCAAAGTGTTTTTCCTTGTGGTTTTTGTATTACCAGCTTGCTTCAAGTTTTCAGCCATGAACGAACTTATGATGATGATCATAGGGTATAAATAAAGGCATGTCCTATCTGAGACTAGTCGCATGGTCTCCCCCGTTAATTCGAACCCTGGAGAGAGAGAGAGAGAGAGAGAGAGAGAGAGGTTCAGATAATGGTCTCTGCCATTGCTGTGTGTAGTCATTCGATCCTTCACTGACAAGGGGAAGTGATGCAACAAGTTTGATGCATTTCAGCAGTGAGCTCGAAATTGTCATTGACAAAATTTGCTGGAGATAACTTGCAACAAAGAAGCCTTAAAACAAAAACTAAGTATATGCCCATGTGGTTTTTGTATTTTGAAACTCAGTCTACATGGATCAAGTAGGATTTTAACAGAATTAAGCAGGGATTTTTTCTTTTCTTTTTTTTTTTAAAGGTGGTAATCATTTTCATTAGATATTGAGTAGAAAAAAGCTGTAAATGGAGAGAGATTTCCGTTACAGCCGACTACAAAGAAACATAAAGACACAATACAAAGAAAAGCATCAACCAGCAAAGGTATCATCCCACAAAAGAGAACCCTAGTGATCAGTGAATTGCTGGTAGAGGCCCACTTTACAACAGTTCTCTCGACCTAGCCACAAAACTTCTAACTGGGCAGGAAACATCTTCAAAAATTTGGCTGTTCCCTTCCCTCCAGATGCACCAACAGATTGCAAAAGGAACTATATTTCAGAGCTCTCCTTCAAATGAAAGCTTGTATTCTCCAAGTAGAAAACAGGAGCTCAACATCAGGAAGGTTGACCCACGACACCCCAAAGAAACTCAGAGCAAGAAACCACATAGCCTGTGAATTAGTGCAATTCATTAGGAGATGCAGGACATTTTCTTCATCTGTGCCACACAAACAGCATCTATTGACAAGGGGCAAGCCTTTCCTTCTTAAAGCATCAATGGTGGGTGCTTTTCTTTTGATTGCTGTCCAAATAAAAAAATATCACTTGGAGGGAATCTTTTGCTTCCAAATCTAAATCCAAGGCGGAGGCTCAGAATCTACTGTCAATAGGATATGAAGCATCGAATTGACTGAAAATTCTAGATTTAGCATGCCGCCACCAAATCTGATCTTCTACCCTCTCAAGGAAGTCAGTATAGAATTTCATCAATCCTAGAATAACGCCCAAATGATAGATGTGTATTCAGCTAATCCGAATTGAAGTAGAATGAGACTAAAAGTGGAAGATAGCTAAAAGTGAAAATTAAACACAAACAAATCATTAAGTATTCTGAACAACTCAAGTAACTAAGGTCTGTGTTTCATGCACTATCTCAGGAAATTGATCAAGTTTGCAAATACTATCAAAGTCAAGGTCTTTAGGCATAATCTGACTTAGGAAACTAACGTCCTTGGAGACAGACTGAAATCTAATCTACTGGCCACGAAGTCAAGTACCAGTGTTTTGCATTCACGCAAATATGTTTATGTTATAATTGCCAGCAGTGTGTTGGTATTCAACTTGATATCAATCCATCCATTAAACCATCCATAACCAATAACAACCCATGCCAAACACAAGGGAAATCAACCCATGATGTCAAGTGGCAAACTTATTTGTTTCATGGATCATACATGAAGATGTAAAATGTACATATGCCTGTGCTTTTACATATGAAGAGTGAATTAATCTTTCGTTCACCGAAATATCAATGCGTTGTTGTACAATTTTGAAACTGTAACCTTGCCATGTATTGGTTCTCAAATATCATGTAGCCAGAGGATATCATTTATCTAGCATTCCAAATGTCATCAGTTCATGATAAGCACTTTTATGTTTCAATTTCCGAGATTGGCTGCAAATTGAGGAAGAGACAGTAGTAGCCATGTATTAGAATGATCTTAATGCAGAACAAAATCTGAAACCATTAAATCTAAGTTACTTGCAAATTCATGCTAAGCCCCCTACATATATATACTGGTAATCTTTTTTTCTTTTTTTGGATAGGTAACTGCTAATCTTGTGTTGAGGGAGAAAAAACATCCCCAATTTTATACTAACAGCCTTTAGAATACCCAATATTAACAAGGTACGAGAGCAAACCAGAATGGAAGAACTGAAAACAAAAACAGGAAGCATACACAAATCACAGCACATCAAGGGAAAGTGAGATGAGAGGAAGAAGAAGAAGAGGAAGATCAGATGCTCTGGACTGCTCTATTTGCACAAAGACAATTCTCTGGTTCTATAACCAGTCACTATAGCTATTGGTTTAAAAGAGGGATTGGGGGAAGGAATGGTGGCTAAAAGCCCAAAGACAGCAGTAGCTGAGTAGCCTCCAAGTCTCGCTCTGGTCATGCGAAAAGAAAAGCAACATAGAGGGAGGGAGGGGAAGGAGACATACCCCCCCCCCACCCCACACACACACACACACCAAACACTTCAAGCTTCCCTGTAATCACAGCAAATAGAAAAGAAGCAAAGGTGGAGAGAGTTTCCACTTGCAGAATAAAAGCCAAAATGAGAACATTCGAACACTAAGCAATGACCCTATGGATATACCCTCAACCAAACCCACCCTAACCCATTTCATTTGACCCACATGTCAAATGGTTGGCTTTGGACGGGTTGTAGGTGGATGGGTTGGGTGGGCCAAACGGGTTGATCAGAGATTGCGACCCCAATAATTTTGCATATATGCCTTTTCTCAGTACTCCGCATAGGGTGTGATCTTTGAATGGATACATGCTGGAATTTAAGTTAGTTGGAGAAGCATAATGTGACTCATGAGCAACTGAGTCCCATTTTAGACAGCTTTATTATAAATACAACTTACCAAAACAAATGTATAAATTGAACTATGAGTAGCAAAGGATTGATTTGTTTCGAAATGGCTTCTTTTGGTTGGTTACTGATAGATGAGCCTTGACAAATGATAGTATCATAGTGCAAATGTATCCAAGATTAGTTATTTGATTTTGAGTAGTAGCTTCTTGAACAATTAAACCCTTGCAACCTACCTTCTTTCAAAAGATAAGCCCCTTCAATGCTCTTTACAATAGTTTCTGCAAAGTATATATGTAGCACATGAAGCATCACAGAGAGAATCTAAATTATCAAGATCACATTGATATTTATTATTCAATACAATGAAGAATTTTGTACCGCGGGGTGAACATATCTTTTGATTCAGAGACAATCATGGAAAAACTAACTGCCATTGCAATATTAATTTAAAGGCCAACCCAGTGCACGAGGCTCCCGCCATTGCCAAGTTAATTTGCAAAACCAATATTGAGCATGCTTGAAGACAGAAGAAAGGGTCTAAGCCTGATGATCCAGTAAGTGTTCAAAGATTGTCAAATATAGAAACAACTTTTTGAATCCACCTTCACAAAGAAGGAATCCATGGTTCAAACAAATTTAATACCTATGGCCCAGATATTCACAAACATCAGGAACAACAGAAAGTAAACAAACATTTTTTTTTTTCTGAATAAAATGAACAAAATTTTGCTCCCAATAGCATATTGCACTCACACTGATGAAGCTCTATAATACAGAAAACCATCCTCCATTCTCCATTCCTTCTTCAACCATATCTTTCTTAGTAAACAACCTTATGAATGGATTCAATCAATTACTTACTGATGGAGTGAGATCTAAAACAAACAGAAAATGCCAAAAATGTTGAAAGCGCCAACATGAATGAATGAGCAAAACAGGCATTGATCATTTTAGAAGATTGAAATGCAAAAGAAGACAAATAAATAAACATTACTTCCAGAAGATGATGTTAGAAACACGCACAGAGTAACCATCTTCATCTCAGATTTTTCATAAACAAGGATCTTCCACCAAGAGAGACTGCACAAAGCAGAAAAGGAAGAGGAAATAATGGCTGTACCTTTGAGGGCTGAAATAATAGCTGTCATGGAAGGATTTCAAAAAGCTAAGAAGTTGCACATCCACAAATTGATAATTGAAGGGGATCCAAAGCTAGTCATAAATTGGCTGCAAAAAGGAAGAGGATGTTGGTTGGTGGAGCTACGTTAATGAAATAAGGAGAATCAAGTGGCTGTCCCAAGGAATGGAGGTTAATCTGCAATTGGTGAAAAGAGATGCTTTTGCTGATGCATTGGCTAAACAAGGGGTGGGAAGGAACCAATCATTTTGGGCTATGTTGTAAACCTTGTTTTATTGAGGGAGATCTAAGAGAGTTTATCTCTCCCTTCTTTCCTATTGTATTTCTTTGTTTAAAATTTAAAGAATCCATTTCAGCTATTTCTAAAAAAAAGGTAAAAGTCATCAAAGAATTATGAATGGTAAAAGTAAGTGTACCCAAAAAACCAAAGAACCTTATACCATTGGCATGACTATTAGAACAATATGTTAGGCAGAACTCCTATGGAGCTACCTTCATAGCATATGAGAACTTCTCAATTTCTCCAAATGCTGCACAAACTTTGCTACTGGAGATGCAAATGGAGTTGAAGAGAAGGGGAAGCTCCATCAATGACTTGGTGCTGCATCAAGAAAACTTGAATAAACTGATCCCATCTGCAGGATCTAACAGAACATTTCTGGTCTATGCCTAAGATATATTCAGGGTCATGAAAAATTAAATATTAGCATATTAATTTCTGGAATTTTGATTGTTAAAAGCATTCACAGTTGGAAAGCATCTGCCCATATCTGCTTCAACCTAGAATTCAGTTAAATATAGTCTTCATTGACTCAACTTAACTGAGTCTTCAGATCTTTTCTCATTGCTTCAACCTACACCCTTTCCACTTTTCTCCCTATCCCTTTCAGAACTCTAATACTATCAGACCATTAGAACACACACTGTTGAACAGGAAGAAGAGATGAAGGGAGAGACGAGAGGACTGAGAGCCCAAAAAGATACTGCAGGTGGCGCAGTATGTTATATTTATACTAGGGCGACAACAACTAAACATAAAGAGAAGTAAAAGTACAATAGTACCCCTGCGGTACTATACATATAAAAAATAACATCTGTTAACACTCCCCCTCAAGTTGGAGCATAGATATCAATCATG